AAGGTGAGTAAGCGATATAAAAACATGTTTAAAATATATACTAATTTTCTTATCCTAACCCCTCTACGAAGGTTGGCAACGAATCCCAGAGCTTTGCACTGGATATCTTTTATCCAAAGCGCAATCTGTCCTCCTCGGGCCAGTACTACTTGACGGACACCCACTTCAACTCGGACCTATCCTTCCAATGGCTGGGCGGCAACTATGCCGAACAGCCCAAGGAGATTCGCAGCAACCTGCAATGGAATGCGGAACCTTTGCGTCGTGGAGATCGAGAGCATCGCAGTATTGCACTAACGGTGGCACATCCTCTCCTTGAGAAGGACATTAACTGCAAGGCGACGTACTACCGTGGATTGCGCGATCTGCTTAAGACCCACTTGACCATTGACTATTCGGAATATCCTGACCAACTAATTGAGCTGGGTGCCCAGCTGACGGATCGGTACAGTGAACTGGGCCACACCAATTACACTTTCCAGGTGTACGGCAAGCATCGAGCTTCCGAACTGGATGTCCAGCTCAATGGAACCCTGGCGGCGAGGAACTCCTACTATAAGACGGAATCCACAGCCCACTACAAGCGAGATATATTCCCAGCGAGGTACGGAAAGTTCCTGGCCCTGCTCGACGTCAATAAGCGGGAAGTGGAATACGAACGCCGGTCGCCATTCCACACGGTGCGATTACACCTACTGCCCACCATCCGGTATCCCATTTACGGTTTGAACGCCACAATCTGGGATACTCCAGATACAAACCACTCGGGTTATATATACGCGGACGTCTTGGAGCGCTATGCTCGCATGGATTTCAACTTGACGGAGGATGCCAGCCAGAACCTTCAAATGGTGGGCTTCATTCCGGACTCACGAAGTGCCTTCCTGGACGTCTGGCGCAACTACGAGGAGATCCGAGTGATCGATGTCAGTTCGTACCTCAAGATGAATCACTCCCGACTAATTACCGGTCGCTTCCACTGGCGCCCATCGATCCGACAAGAAGTTCGCGAGAAAATCCAATCAGTGGGTAAATCTGTCTACAGCTCCTTCTCAGAGGGAATCGATTTCTGGATCAAGTCTATCTACACGGAAACTACAGAGTCAATGGGCGTGGTATGGAACACAGCCAAGGAGTACAATAAGGACTTTATCGATGACATTGGACATCTGAGTGTTTTGGAGGAGGATCTTGCCGATCTGCGTCAGTTTGTGAATCAGTCGTATGAAGCCAACGACTTCTATATCAAGAACGTGGTTAACTTCACATTGACTATCCTGGATGAGCTGGCAATCAGGGATCACATCGAATCGCTTCCGAAGATCTTCTCGGAACTGTGGCAGGCGATGGGAGATTCAGGAAAAGCTCTACGCAACAGCATTGTATGGCTCATCGATACCATTAAGACCACATATAACAACCTTCTGGATGCGGTGTCCCGATTCTTCCACGGCGAGAGTCTCACCTATATATCGGGTCTACTAGAGAAGGGCATTGCGAAGTACGACAGTTTTGTCAAAGACTTGCACATAAAGTTCATCAAATACATCGAAAACCTGTGGCACAAAACTTGGACCTTAGCGGAGAATCACTGGAAGGCTGTCCTTAAGCGATTTGAACCGCATCTCTTCAAGATGATCAGCTTTATAGAGACCACTGCTTGGAATCTCAGCAAGGAGGTGTTTGATTTTATCTACAAGCGTACAAACGAGCTGGCCGAGTCCCCGTACTTCAACAAGGTTTCCAGTTTTACGGCTGATGCTGAACGACTTTACCGGGACTTCAAGGCTAACGATGCCATTACAAACATCAAGAAGTACTCAACGCTGGCTTGGAATTTCGTCAAGGAGAAGTACTTTAAGCTGGTACCCTTTGGCGCGGAATTAAATGAGGTTCTTACCGAAATCTGGCAGGAAATCAAAGAACTTGAAAAAATCGATCAAGTGCAGATAATGGTGCAAAAATACTACGAAGTTATGGCCAAGGTTGATTGGGTTGCCGATGAATTGCAGCTGGAGCATCGTCTTCATCAGGTTTACGGTCTATTGAGGAACAAGTTCCGCAACTATGCCATGAATGCTTTGGAAACCGCCGACATGTACAGGGAAGCCAAGACCAAGTTCGTTTTTGATCCGGAAGTGGGTATTATCGATCTTGAGCAGAAGTTGCCCATGTCCTGGCACGCTTTCAACGAAACGCCCAAGTTCGAGGAGATTCCCGAATACCAGGTGCTGGCCAAGGCGCAGAGTTTCTTTAGTGAGACCAACTCTTCGATCGTCATGAAGCTGTACAATATGCGTACCCATTTGGATCCCAAGACCTGGCTGCCACCATACTACTGTAAGTCTAGAAAGGTTAACCATTAAATGATCAATATTTACTTATTTTTTATTTTTTAGCTCGCGCCTTGCTTATTGACTCGCGGCACTATATGACCTTTGATCAGCGCTTTGTGGGTCTAAACCTTAACTTTGACGAGTTCGGAAATGGACGACCTAATGCCCAATGCAGCTACCTCCTGGCCCACGACTTCTTTAAGCGAAACTTTACTTTACTTTTGGAACCATCAGTAAGTATTACAAAAAAAACCTTGATCCCTTAATTAAACCTATAATTTCAGAGCAATTCCCTGGCTGGCCAAGGACTTACGCGGAAACTGAGCTTCATTGCCAATGATCAACTGATTGAAATTGACCTGGGCACAGATGTGAGTCAATTAACTTAATTAATAATTAATTATTAACTAACAATTAACATTATAACCAGCACATAAGCATCAATGGCAATCCACAACCGATCCTGCCACTTAAACTGGGTGCTGTGAACATCCATAGAGATCTGGATGTACTGTCGATCACCTCGGACACCGAGTTCAGTCTGCACTGCAACGTTCAGTTCGATCTGTGTTGGTTCGAGGTGAGTGGATGGTACTTCGCCAGGACAGCGGGATTGCTGGGAACCCTGAACAACGAGCCTTTCGACGAGTACACCATGTCCAATAGCGTGATCTCCAATGAGACGCAGCAATTCACGGATTCGTGGAGCTTAAGGAAATGCAGGCAGACCAAGTTGGCACAGACTCAGGAGGTTAGCAAGGAGGTCAGTGACACCTGCACCAGCTTCTTCCGTACTGGCATGCTTGCCACCTGTAGTGCAGTGATCGATCCCAGTCCCTTCTACGAGATGTGTCTGGACTTGGGAATGAAATCGCCACCAATTCGTAACGGACATCCGGCTGTCAAGGGAGCCTGTGCAGCGGCTTTGGCTTACATCGAGGCCTGTACAGCTCTGAAGGTTCCCATGCGGGTGCCCACTCAGTGTGTGTTGTAAGTTAGAAGATCTATTATGATAACATCCAATTTAAAATTTTTAACTATTTAAGCTGCCAACTTACCAACGGTTCCTATGTCCCTGAGGGCACTTTCATGGAGCTATCAGGTCCTGAGATTCCCAGGAGCAGCGATGTGGTTTTCATCGTAGAGGCCAAAGATTGCAATTCCAATCTGAAGACGTCCAAAAACATCATGACAGTGGTTAGCAGCATTGAAGAACAGCTGCAGGCCGCTAAGCTAACAAATAATCGGTGGGTTTATCAAAATTTATTTTAACTTGAACGTTTTTAAAATTTGAAAACCCCTAGGTATGCTGTGGTGGCCTTTGGAGGCGTTGCCCCATACGACAAGCCCAGGAGTGTTATATACGAACACAACGAGTTTACCTCCAAGCCGGATCAACTGGCTGACTATTTTGGCCACATTAACACCGGAAATGGCAGCAGCAACGACATCCTGATGGCCATTTCCACTGCTGCCAAATTGAACTTCCGTCCGGGCGTTTCGAAGACCTTCGTCCTGCTGTCCTGCAGCAAATGTGCAGCCAGGGATATGCGTTTCGACTACACCTCCATCCTGCAATATATGCTGGAGGAGGGCATTAACCTGCACATCCTGGCGGACACGGAGTTCGACTTTGAGCGCAACAAAAAGCTACGACACTTCTTTGGCTTGGACAGTAAGATGGTTTACTCTAAGCGATTCCCCGAGGGCGATGCGGATAGCCGCAATACGACGCACATTCCCAAGAGCAATCTGGGGATCTGCACAACGCTCGCGGTGGAGACCCAGGGATCGGTGTTCAGTGCCCGCAAACTGCAGCCGGAGCGGAAGTACCCCATTAAGCGATTCGCCACCATTTTCGCCAAACGCGTCGCCCTTAGTGCCACGCCCATTCAGAGCCAGACCTGCGAGTGCTCCGCCCACAACACGGGAGTCTCCTACATGGCCTGCTCTCCACAGGCTCTGCCAGAGGAGAAGTACGATCTGGATGACTACGTAAGTTGAAGTGAAGAAGGAAAAGTATATTCGAGTATTATCGATAACTGTCAGCCCACATGTAAATAGTTGAAAGCTTTAAAATAGAACATTACGTCTATTTAAACGAAGTTTATCCGATACAGCAATATAGCTGGATAACCAAAGATAACATGACTTTGAGAAAACTATCATCAACTAAAACAACATTGGTTTCTAATACCATTTTAAATCCTATTAAAGGTAGTGTCATTATTGGGATCTTAAAATGTAGTCAGTCGATTTAATATAAATTGTAGTAAATTGGGTTCTAGCTTAAATTTTAAATACTACATCATAATACAGTATATTATTCTTAATATTCTACAATAAATTTTGAAATTAGTCATTTAAATTACTAATTTTTCAGGACTCCTTTAACGACTGGGACTGGGGAGATGAACCGGAAGCCGAGGCCAATGTAATGTCGTAGTTCTAAGTGCGCCACGATTAGTTAGATAGTTCAGTTATGTCCCTGCAGAATGTAAGCTTTTTCTAATGCATAACCGACAGGCAAATTTTGTAAAAATAAATCAACATATAAAGCCAAAGTGTAACCGCATTTAGTGTCATGATTTCCAATCGATAGCTGGCCAAAATTAACGAGCGACACGCCCGACCAGTTTTTTGCTTCCTATTCATTGTCTGCGCCAATCTCGGTCGCTGATTAAAAGTTGCCCGACCGCCTGGAGCTGCAGCACCAGCAGCAGCAGCATCAGCAGTTGCATGTTGCATGTTGCAAGTTGCAGGTTGCTGGCTCAGGTGACTATCACTTTTGCAGCTGCAACGGCAACGGCCATGACCACGGTTGACGGAAACGGCGGCAGAACTCAAGTACGTGTAACAACCTTAACCCTAAAGCGAGCCGCGACGGAATGGACCATGTCCGCTCACTCGAACCACTTGATACCCAGTTGAACCCAATTTGTTGATATAACATTTCCCTGGAAAAGCGCACAATGGAAATTATGCGAGCCGAGTGGTAAGGCAATACTTTCTATTTCAATGCTATGGTTACATCAACTGGCCGTCCTAGGCCCAATTGCAAATCTTTCACTTTTGGGCTAGCTATAAAAGCCAGCGGACAGATGGCAACCATTCGCATTGCTGCACAGAGATCCGGCCAGGTAGCCACGGAAATTATCAAAATGTGGATATTAGTAAGTTCCAGAGGAGAATATAGATCATCTTCGATCCGAATTTTATCTGTGGAATCCTCTCTAGCTACTGATTTGCAGTGTACAGCTGATTTGCGCCTCGGAGCACAGTGGCGAGGGATATGGTGAGAGTTACGGTGGTTACGGGGGCTACGGAGGAAGTGGAGGAGGAGGCAGTGGATCAGGAGGAAGCGGTGGAGGAGGCGATGGCGGCCACTTTCATCACCACACACCCACCACATATTCCGAGATCTCGAAACACGTGCCTGTCCACGTGATCGAGAAGATTCCGCTGCCCATTCCGCATCCGGTGGCCGTTCAGGTGCCCAACGTGATCCGGCTGCAGATCCCAGAACCGTATGCCGTCCACGTGCCCGTCCAGCAGGAGATACAAGTTCCGGTCTACAAAATAGTGCCCGAAATAACCGAGCGGAAGATACCATACACCATAGAAAAGCCATACCCCGTAGAGGTGGAGAAACCATATCCCGTCGAGGTGATCAAGCAGATCAAGATTCCGGTGCCGAAGCCCTATCCTGTGCCCATTACCATCTACAAGCACGTTCTGCAAAAGGAACACGGCTGGTAGTCGTTAGTTTTTTAGGTGTGTAAGTATCAGGATACCAGCTCTAGGTCCCAGAGTATTATATTACGAGCTTAATGAGTAATTAAATATAGAATTTAAGCCAATCCTTCGACTTTTTATTCGAACTTTTAAAGATAGTGTGGGGATCTTAAGCATTTTGTAGCAGTTTGCAAAAAATTTTAACTCTCTCTTCAATCATATAGGCTACAAATAAGATACAAATAAATATAGAAATGATCGTTTCATAGGCTTTTTGACTGAAATTAACAGGTACCGTAGGTACATAGGCCTTTGAAAAATATTTCAAAACCGTTAGAACTTAGATATATAAAACCAATCTATCTACATTAATTTAACCTTAAAGCTTTTATCTATTTTTTCGGATAAAGGTTTCTTCCTCCAATAAGTTATTATCCCAAGCTTAAAGCGTTCTTGATGAGAAGGAAAAAATAAAGAAATGTCAGTTACATGTAGACTCTACATTTTCAAAAAGCGACAATATAACTTTGGGAACTTTTCCGCCCAAAGTTGAATTCCGGAACACTTCAGAAAAGCTTTTTTTGAGTAGTCCTTCCTCATGATGGCGGCAAAGTGCGTATACACATTCTCACCCAACACACTGACACACAACTGACATACATACCTCGCAGGTTCGTTAAACTTTTCCAAATTGATTGACGCTGGGGGAAAAAGTGTAGGGCAGGTTTTTCTCAAGCCGATGACGTGCGCACACTCCATACCCCACCCTCATACCCACATCCACACCCACCTATCAAACAACGCCTTCTCATCCGGTCAGGTGTTGCTCGGGCTTATATCCTGTATGTCCTTGAAGGCGACAGGGAACTTTTCCGCGTTTGTCAATGATTTCCATTTGTTGCACGCTCCTAGTAAAGTCATTCCCATTCCTGTAATGGTTTTCAGTCCGGCCAGCATTCAGTGAGTCAGTCAATCAGGCGCAGCTGCCGCAAATTATTTATGCACAACTTGTAGCTCCACACGCACACGCCTGCTGAGCAAAATGTATCCAAAGGATATGCAGTACGCCATATATGTGTGTGCACAATGTGTTTGCCTACGTGTCGGGAACTTTAATTTCATTCACATCCACATCCACACACATGCTAGAATAGTTTATCCATTTGTTCTTCAAATCTTATCTTTCCCACCCTTTTGCCTTTACAACTTGCAAAGTTTTGTCTTAGCGGAAGCAGAGTAAATGAAAAGTAATAGAAATTGCTCGAATGCTTGCATACATTATTCTACGTAAAATCAGCAAAACTTTTTCGTAATTAAATTCTGCCACACCCGGCTCGTTTTCATTTTCCAAGGGAGGTCAGGCTGAGGTTCAGGTGGGTGCTCGCATTTAATTAATTATGAAAATATTCTTAATGATACACCTGGTCGGATAAACTTTGTTTTTAACCCGCACCAAATGCTGATTGTTGATTTATGCTCTTTGCATTCCCTGCCCAATGCCAATGGCTTCATTCATCAATTCATTTGGAAAATTTGGTAATTGCACGGGCTGATGAAACGATAATTGACACATCCAGTGTGTTTGCAGTTGTGGTTTCGAATGGCCATTTGGCCAGGACACCAAATGTGCATATCGCAGTTGACAGGCCTCGGGTTTTAGGTAATTACTACCCATCCTTTGACGGTTTTAATCGCCGCCCCAAAAGAATCGCATTTGGGGTAACAGTTTCTGTCATTGGGGAATGATTACAATTGCAGCTGATTTTCATGGACTTATGGGAATTATTGTATTGCCATGGATTAAAATATATTATTTATAAGGGAATTAAATTAAATTAAAATATATTTAGCAAGAGTAATTAACTTAAACCATTTATTTTAATTTTCAAATCGATTTTATAAGCTCTAAAGCTTATACAAATTTCTATTTGCGATATGAATTTTACAATTGGGAATTAAACAATCATACAAAATGTATGAACATTTTTCTTTTTCAATTGAATGAATGAATTGTCTTTCAATAATTACTGTGCTACAGCCTTTGAAAGCCTATTACTGTACTTGGCTGCGTTTGATCTCACACTGAGTGGCTGAAAGGCTTTCCCCGCTCCCCGACAATTACCACTTCCTTAGGCCACATGTGGCAATTGATTCTATGTGGCCTAAGCCCCGGCGTAATATGCGAGAGCCAAGCCTCAATTCAGGGCTCCCCTGTCTATCCAATCGATTGGCGCATAAAATGCAAATTAAATTGTCGGAACATTTGGTATTACAGCAGCCAAAGCTCTCAGCCAATGAGCTTAGCCAAAGTCTGGCAAACAAATTTACAATGCTAAGCTCATGTGAGGAGGGCTGGCGAAGTGAGGTGATGATGGTGTTTCGGAGGAGAATACATACAGCTGGGCCCGGAATGCGAAAGGGGAAACTTTTGGAATGGATCCGTGGAATTAATTTAAGTTAATTGATTTTTCTGCCAGAAGCTTTGCACGTGCAAGACTTTTCCGCACTCAGACAGACTCAGACAGGCAATCGAAGAGGAAAAGGAAACTGTGGCTCGGGGCAAAAGGACGAGGTCGGAAATTGACAACTGCCTCGAGTGTTCAGCTGTAAGGCAAACACATTTCCATGGCCCATTCACATTGTCGCCCAGTTTTCCATTGAGACATCATATGTGTCGTTCTGCTTGACAGGTGGACGTGGCCCCTGATGGACTTTTTAGGAGCGTCCCCATTTCCCATTTCCCAGCTGCCACATCTGGGATAAAAATAGCCTGCGCTCGTTGGCTAAAACCAGCGGCTAGGGCATTACTAACGCCGAATTAATCAATTGCCCAACGATTCGAGTTGCCTTCATTTTGTTATTTTTAAGCATTTCAAAGGCTGCACTCGCAGAAACACACAGTCCGTTCGCTTTCCCTGGAACCGACCGCTTTTCCTGTCTAATGAGGTGTAAAGTGGTGTGAATGCATGAGCTCCTTTGAAGGAGCGGTCCTAGATGGAAGAATGTGAGAAGTCCCTCTGGCTGAATTATTGATCGGCTGCCAAGCCAGTGTATCTTTGTCACTATATTTGCCCGAGGACAACTGATTTTCCTTGTTTCCCATTCCCATTTACTCTCTGTCTTTAATAAGCCAATGCTTTTAAAGAAAATCCCGAAATACCGTGTAGCTGCTTTCTATATTTCCAAAAAAAATAATCACTATATGTAATCCCATTCTTTAGGCTCCAAAAATAGCCTTTACTGCTGGCACTTTACCAAGAATAACCATTATAAATTGTATAAAAATATGAATCAATGGCGAATCACAAAGCGAAAGCCAATTTCTCTTTCCTTTTGCTGGGTAAATCCCCTGCAGAAAGTAAAATTGAATGGTGAAGAGGGGCCGCACTAAAGTCATAAAAGTCGCGTGGACCAAATTAGGAGGAATTCTCTGCTGTTTGTAAAGGAGAGCAAGAGGAAGGAATGCTTCTGCTCCTGGTCCTGAACCTACTCCTGCTCCTACCGCCTGGTACTTTATGTGCACAACAATTTTAAATGACTTTGAGGAGGCGACCCGGGACACACTCACATACAGACGGATACACACAAACACACAGGAGCAGCAGCCGAAAGTAACAGATAAGATTAGACGCCCAAGCCAGTGACAACAGGCGTCGTCAAGATGGCGCTCCACGCCCACATTGCGTATGCGCGTTCAGCTACACCAAGAAAAAGTATCTGTCCCAAAAAAATCTTATAAGCTTTCCATACAAAGTCTGAAAAAATAAAAAAAGTATATATTTTGAACACTTACCAAATTTGTCCTCTTTAGTTTGATAAAAACATCTCTTTTAAAGGATAGTACACAATATCTAAGAACCGCTTCCATGTAACTATAATATTATGGACACGCATAAATTTAAGATTTAATTTATGTAATATGTTGAAATCTCATAAAAAAGTCGAAGTTATGGCTGAAAATGTCTCTAAGGACCTTTGATACTATCTTATTTTGGACTAAGTGACTGGATTTATTTTAAAAACTCATGACAATCTAAACATGAATTATGTTTAAACCAAATTAAGTCCGTTTGTCAAAAATCAAGCAAGTTTCATAAAGCCTCAAGACTTCATAAATCTATTTTTCCTTATAAAATTAGGGTAATTAGATGAATCATCTTCTATTTACTCCTGCGCAAATCAAATTTTTTTTAAATAAATAATAGGATGGATAAGGACCATTTGACAATATCTTATTTGTTGACTAATTCATTGCTTTCTTTTAAAAAACGCATCACAATCTAATCATGAATTGTGTTTAAGCAAAATTAAGTCAGTTTGTCAAAAATCAAGCAAGTGTCAGTCAGCCTCAAGACTTCATAAAACTATTTAACCTTATATGAATAGGTGCAGATCAAATTTTATTAAAATAGATAATAGTATGAATAATTCCCACTGGTTACTGCATCTATTTCTCTCAGTGTCAGCCGTAAGCGAGTCAAGGTTAAGCTCCAAAATCGCTCGAAACGAAACGAACCTCAGCCATCAAAGGCAGCAATGTTTTTTCCTTATTTTCTTCTTTGCACCATTTCCTTTTGCCTGCTTTTCCTCGGCTCCTTCGAATTCCTTCTTTTTAGTAGCCGTTTTTGTTTTGTTTCGGATGCTGCGCGTGGCAGGGAAAACAGCTGGCTGGCTCGTAATGATTACGAGACTTTTATGGCAGAACGAACGCTGCACACAAAGCCCAAAAAGGGTCCCAAAGATGGCGAAAGAAGCAACCTTCAGTACCTGGAATGCGCCCACTCAGCCCACCACCCGCACTCTATCATTCGCACATCGTTGGCCAAAGTTCGGAAGCGTTTATTGGAAGGTCCCTTCCCATTGCCATGCCCATTCCCATTCCCCCATCCCATTCAGATGGAATAAAGTTAAGCGATTATGAGCGCCGCCTAGAAGTAGGCAACTTTTTCATCTTCCGCCCCGAGTAAAAAATAAGGGTGGTACTTCTTAAAGGAAATATATGCCATAAAAAGTAACGCCCAAAACGACAAACAAAACGTTTAGGATTGAGCTAAAAATACTAAGTTTCATTCAAATCCAATTGCTTGCGGTTCAGGTGAAAACAATTTAATGGGGTGAAGGTTTTGTGGATACTATACTTCGGTCGCCCTCATTGTTTCGTGCAAGATTTATGGCTACAACTCGTGCTTATGGTGTCGCAAAAGGTTTGTTTTCGTATACCATTCTATTTCACATTTTGTCTCCCGTAAATCTGGCGCCACCTTGCTGTCCTGTCTATTACCGAAATTGTGTCTTATATATATGTTCCTCCATTCATTTGCGCGTGGCGACGCTCTGGGTTGCGTGCAAAAATAGCCCAAAATAAAAATATGAATAGAAAATATTTGTGCAGAGGCGCATAAATCACAAGAAGGCAAACACGAGCACATCACTGTAAATGGTCCTGCACGTAGTGACGAAGCGCACCTACAATCGCAAATATTAGGACTTGGAATGGGACTAAAACTTTTCAAGCACTACATTTTAAACAATGAAATGGATCATTTTATATTGAAAATCAAGGAAACTTTACTTCTTTGTTCAAATTGTTTCTATGGTAACTATATGATTCATTCGTCACTCTTTTAGTGATGCTGATCACTGGGTTACAAAGTTCTGACAATTGTACCTTGATCTGATTAACAATAGTTCCCTTTGCTAGAGCACAAAAACATTAAATATTTAGATAAGAATGAGCTTATTTTAGTTTAATATTCCATTTTATGTAAATGTAAGAATTATTCGTCAACATTTTTCCTTGCGTAATCGAAATACTTGTGCTTCCTCCAAGAATCCATTTGAATTTTAATTTAAATTCTTATTAATATCAATCCACTTTATTGTTCAACGCTCAATTAGCTTCTTTGTTTATGCCATTTATTTATGTATTTGTATGCCATTTAAAAAGCTCCCCACTTTTTGCAGAACTCTTTCCCAAAGACTAAAACTACCACGAAGAAATATAAATGCTAAGTTCTGCGTCGCCAACAAATCAGTTTCTTTTGAAAGGCCCGCGTTAAAGCAATGATAGTATAGATAATAAAGCAAACAAATTAGAGAGAGAGTGAAATAAAGTAACGGAACTCTAAGAATAGACTCTCGGTGTGGGAATACGTATGAGTCTTATTTTGTATCTTGGTATTTTATAGTCTTTGGTATTTAATAATCTGGCCAAAGTGTTTCTCCGACGATAAAATAAAAGAATGGTGGTCATAAAAAACAAACACAAGATCCCGGTGCCTGAGCATCTCAACGAACAGTTTTTCACGGATACCCTCGAGGAGGGTCTGAGGGAGTCGAAAGTAACGCTGAAGGAGATAAACTTGGACTGGGGCAGTAATCCGGGGGACAACTACTGCTCGGCGATCTATCGGGTGGAACTCACATTCACAAAGTGGATCGATGGCGAGGAAAGCGCAGAAGCGGAACATCTCTCGCTGATCGTAAAGGTCATTCCGATCAGTAAAGCTACCCAACTTTTGCAGGATGCAGGTGTGTTTATCAAGGAAAAGCAGACTTACACCGATGTCTTGACCCGTTTGGAAATCCTAAGCAATGGAGATGCATTTGGACCAAGGTAGGTTTCTGACCAAATTGCACCGCTTTACTTTATCATATCTTGCCACAGATACTATCACTCCATTAAGACACCGGTCCAGACGATCGTCTTTAGCGACCTCAAAGCGCAAGGATACAAGGTGGCCTCAAGGGAATCGGGCCTCGACTGGAACCACGCCTCTCTAATCCTTCAGCAGTTGGGGAAGTTCCATGCCACATCCATGGTGCTGGCCAAGAAGGTAACTATTAAAATATTTGAGTAACCTCAAATAACCATCTGACTTCAATCACACAGGATCCTAGCATTGTAAAGCATTACACCCGTGGCATGCTCAGCGAGTACATTGTGATGAAGAACGACAGCACTGAAAAAATTTTTGGTGGCTTCCTCAAGGGCCTCATCAAATGCTCATCGGCTTGGCCCGGTTTCGAAAATATAAACCATCACCTACAGCGTTTTATGGACAACTTCCGATCCGTATGTGTGGCTGCAGCCAAACCGAAAAAGGGTGATCGATACTTGGTGCTCAACCATGGTGACTTGTGGACCAATAACTTTATGTATGCCTATGAGAACGCCTCGTACCCTGAGGTTCCCACAAGTGCCCTTTTCTTGGACTTTCAGTTATCCTTTTTCGGTAGTCCGGCATGCGATCTGAATTTCTTTCTTAACACCAGTCTTAAGCTGGAGTTGCTTCAGGAGCGCCGCCAGGATCTGTTAAGATTGTACTACGTGGCCTTTAGGGATACGCTAGAGTACTCCAATTTCGAGGATATTCCCAGCTATGAGGACCTGCAGTACGAACTGCGAAGCCGAGAGACCTACGGTCTTTTCGGCTTGTTCGGTTTTCTGCCCATGATCACCATGCCCCTGGAATTGGCCCAAAACAACAGCCTAGAGAAAATGCAGGACGATGCTTTTAAGCAGCGCCAGATGGATGCTATTTTTTCGCAAAAGTTTTTAAACGACTACCAGAAGTGGGCTTTAAAACGAGCAGATTCTATTGGCGTATTTAATGATTATTGAAAAGACATGTCAAAAAGATTTTTAGTAAGTGGCAAAATTGTAAATTTAATTTCATTAAAAATAAACAAATAGCAATTTAAAAATAAAATAAAAGTTTGAGTATATGCAGATTCATTCGTCACGAAACTATAGCTCGTTAAGACGTGTTTTTCTTTTGCTTTATTATACACCCCATATTGTTTGTATGCGGAGTGCACAGTATATAGTACTTGATGGCTTTGCATTTGCCAAACTATTTAAATATTATTCCAAATGAAGGGCAAAGCCGAAGCCCGGCTTCATATCCGTTTCTCCATTTGCAAGCCACCCACCCAGCCAGCCGCATTTCAAGGTCCTTTGGTTCGAAGTGCGTTGTTATCATTCGGATATTTGCATAGGGCTTACCAACATTATCTTGCAATACATATATTATGCCTTTGGTGTGATGAGAAAGCATTAAAATCCGACCTTGAGAATGCCAGACACGTATTCCCATTTCCCCAACCACAGGAGATATATAGGCAACTCATAATGACAGACTTCTGTGTTGGAGCTTTAAAATCGGTAATTTAAGGTTTGGATTGATATGGTTGTGTGGTTTTGGGTCTCCTCAAAGTTGCCAATTTAACGTTTGAACGGGTTTTCATTAGTTGGGATTAGCTGATCAATGTTCCGTATCCTGAAATACACTGCCATAACTCGAGCATATCCTTCCCATTAGTAAACTATGTTTTAGATGGAAATAATGTATTTATTTTGTATATACTTTGTTGGTAATATCTTAAATATAATATTTAACTTAAATGTATTTATGCTGACCAACAGTTGTATGACAACTGCTTACTAGCTATTTTTAGTAACACATATGGCTCACAAAATTTAAATTTCCTAGTTTGTTGTAAAATAAAGTACCACAAAACATAGCTGTATTTTTACCCCGAAAAAGCCAATCTTAAAATATCTTTTATGTCGTCTGTCCCTTTGAGATCTCAGATCCCAGAGCGCGGCTAATCAATGTTGTTGATGGTAGGAGGAAGGAATCCTTCGAAGCGGGTCTTTCCTTCGCTTTAAAATGGCTCGCGAGCTGCGTCCTTGGGCAGAGTTGCCAGCTACTTTTCGGAGGCACTTCACCTTCACATCGGCCCACGCCTCCACTTTTCACTTTCGCCGCTTTCTCTGCTTTCTCCGGTGCGGTGCCAACTATCAGTGGTGAGTGAAAATCGCTGATGCGTGGCTCGGGAAACGGGCGCGGGGGTGGTGGAAAGTGCTGGGAGGAGGGAGGAAGTGGAAGTGGGAGGGAGCCCCAAGCGAGCGAGGGAAAATACATTTTTGCACTGAAATAGCAGCTAAAAGGTTGTGTTCGTGACCTTTGCCAGGCGTTTTATGGTTGTCTCCAGCGTTCAGTGCCTGCGATTGCTTTGCCTTGCTGATTTGGCAGCCTCGCACTTCCACACACAAAGGCGGCACGAGGGGCACGGACTCCTGCTAGTTAGAGCTCTCTGCGAAACGTGCCGCAGCTTAGACACACGCTTGCCACGCACATTTCCTTTGCAAGCCCTCTCCCGCCGAGCAAGTACAGCGGAGCCTCCACTATAACTACTTCAGAAGAACCTAAAAAATCCAACATTTTATTACAAAAATTGGGATAAATATTAAAAAACTACTATAACTATATGAATATCAACTATTTTATAATATCAGCTTAACATTATTTCATTTAACTTGCCATTGTTTAAAATGCTTTGATAATATTAGATTCCTGTGGATATTAATATAAATATATTTAGCCCTAGTGTGAACGTGTCATATTAATTCGTAATTAATTTAAATTTGACTAGAGAGAATGCTAATCATGCTTGCTAAATTATATAATAATAATATTTTTACTATGATAATATTATAAATTCTACTGTACATGCATGTACAATTTTTCTTGCCATTTGCTCGCTGACTTTCCTTTGCTGTCCTGAGCAGCCACTGCTGCACCTCCTACATTGCGTATACGCAACGCTGGGGCAAATAAAAAGTGACAAATTCGCCCAGAATGTCGGAGACAGCATTCAGTATCCTGACGCCTTTGACCTTTCTTTTAAATCACAAACAGAAAAATGTGCGACTAAAACAAAAAAACGGTTAAAGTTGATATTTGACAGGTAACCTTTTGCAGGGACAAAAAGAAGGAAGTACAAAATGACAGTTGGAGTTCGCGAGAGAGAAAAAATATGTTTTTGAATTGCCATTCTTTCAGTGCATGCAATCAAGCCAAGTTAAATTTAAAGCAAAAGCTATGGCATTTTAATATAACATATTTCTTTTGTTTTGACCATTTCGATTTTTCAGGTATGGTATTTTGTATTTCTCCTCTTTGTAGAGTGGTATTTACTTTTGGTGTCCTGCAATCAGCTCAATAATTCATAGCCCTTTTCAAAGTTCCTTTCTGTTGGGTGACAAACTTTTTGCGACCCGAAATTGGTTTTGTTTAAATTTATTGCCAGAGTTCAGGGTCCTTTCCGGACACCCTTGGAAACCCTTGGCACACAAACACACACACACACCCAACGCCAGTCATCGAAACCTGAAATTGCATTTCCTAATTGATGTCGAGCTCCGAGTGCCGAAAGGGCGACGCATGTTCACCAGCTCAACGTTGGCTGATGGCTGATTGATTCGGGCTCAATTGGGTCCGGACATAGGAATGCCTGGGGGCAATGTGGCATGCCGCCCCTTCTAAATCCCCACCCCTGCTCCAGCTGCTGCCCATCGCAGGCTTCGCATTGTTCCACGTGCTGCTGGTGTCACCTCGGACTTAGCCACACATGATTGCCCCAGAAGTGAGGCGCCTCTTGGGCCATTAATGGCTTTTCCCCACCTCCTGCCACTCCTCCGGCGACTGCTGAAGTCCTTAGGGTCCTGCTCCTCCTCCTTCTCCACACTCTCTTTTTACGGCCTTCACGCGACGGGATCCTGGTTATGACTGCCTTTGGTCCTGGTAATTGATATTAAGACAAAACGAGCCTAATGGGATGCCACAAACAAACAAATGTACCAAGTGGATTTATTTTTAGCCACCCAAAACTTTGGATGTGGCAATAAGTTTTTACGATCTCGTGAAATTACAAAATATGAAGAGGCTTTTGCCTGCCGAAGAGACGTAAGTCTAGCAAAAGAAATAAATGTGCGAAATTGAGGTCTCGAATATAATATAGATGAGGTGAAATACACCAATCCCGATTATCAGGCCATCGCATAAATATCCCTAGAGCCATAGATTGCACGAAATCTTTGCGTAAATCAATCGCAGGGATCTGGAGAATGGGACGTGCGCTGGAAAAAAACACGAAAGAACCAGAGTCACCGTCATAACTCACAGAAATCAATTTGTGCAAAACAAAACTCGCCCCAAATAAATCACAGAGTCGCAGCAGAAAAATGCTTACATAAAGGAAAAACCTTAAAGCTTGCCAAAAGAAATGTGGAGGCACAATGAATGGAAACGGAAAAAGTTGCGAGTAAATGGAATTATATCCTTGGCAATGGCTGCACTCAAGCAGAAATGATCAACTGCTGCAGGCAGGACGACGAAGGCTCAAGGTAAGTCAAATGAGGATGAGGAGGCATAGGGATAATGTTGGGGCTCTGAATGTAACTGACGTTGCAGGCGCACTGCCAAAAATATAGCCCAAATCAGAAAAGATCTTGATTGTATTTAAATATATATATTTTGTTTTGATTTAAACCTTACAAAATGTAAAAAAAAAATTATAATAATCCTATTATAAACATTTGGAAGTACTTTCAACATAGTATCAAAACTAAAATAAATTATATTTAAAATATCAGGAAATCTTAAAAACGATTTGCCGATAACATTTTCTTAAAGCTTAAAACCATTTTTTATTAAAAAAAAATAAAATGAATTCAGTGTTATTGAATATGTACACAAAATAATTTTAAGGGCTCTTAATATATTTTTTTAATAATTACTAGAGGTGAACCATTCCAAATTTATTTCAAACCATGGAATGTCTTTTAAAGTTATTTTCGATTACACTGGGTACTACGAAAATGTTTTTCCTAGTGCATCAAAAATGGATATGCCAGTGAACCAAGCGAACGCATGCCAGTCGGAATTGCAGTCTCCAGACCTGAAAAGTTGGCTGGAGTCAGGAGGAGAATGGCTACATGACGATGCACCACTGGCAGCTGTGGTCTGTGCGGCCTTTAAGCCTTTTTAGTGACTGCTGGTCCGAGCCGATAAAACGCCTGACTGCCTCCTCACATCACTGGCCGGACTGAGGAAAGCACTTGACGGGTTAAGGTCGGGGCAATTTATGCGGGGGCTCGGTTCAAGTCCCGATGGCCACACGCTAATGAAGCAGACCCAGGGCAGCAGGAGCAGTCCAGCCGCAGGCCAACCCCTAATCCTTGACACGTGTTGGCCAACAAAGACGCAATGTGGGAAGGGTGAAGGGAAGCGCCGCAAACAGACTGCGAGGCATTCGAAATGCGTTCCCACAATTATGGAAATGTTATAAATAGCCATTGAAATACTACAAGCCGATGGACGAATGCCCTTAAAAAGTGGATAAGCTGATAAGGGTTCAAGGAGGAATCAAAACGTCAAGGCTGCTCTCTTGAAATATTCAACAAGTTTATTGGTTAGGATTTCAAATTAAGAAAATAAGGGATTAATGTAAACCATTAAGTTTCTAACTGTTGGAAAAAATATATCAATTTCTACTTTCAAATATTTCAAGGACTAAAAAAATAACTTACAACCTCATAAAAGAATTAGAATCATATATATATTTATTTATTTATTCTCTGGTTAAAAGGCAATTGTAAATTTCATATAGCCTTTATTTTTGTAGATATAGCTACTTAAGCTAAGTCTGTTATATATATATTTATATTATGACTATGTCTTGATTTCAGATTAGATGATATAATTTTATTTCCTTTAGGAATTTCAACATGTTTTAAGTACTTATACTTTTGAATCCCACAATGCTCTTCACAAAGTGTATAAAA